AGGAAGGAAGGAAGGAAGGAAGGAAGGAAGGAAGGAAGGAAGGAGGGAAGGAGAGGAAGGAAAGGAAGGAAGAACCATGGGGGTGCAGGGGTTACAATGCAGCATTGTAGGCTAATTGTGCTGATTGTAAGCAGTTCGATCCTGACAGGCTCAAGTTTGACTCAGCCTTTCCTCCTTCCGAGGTCAGTAAAATGAGGACCCAGATTGTTGGGGGCAAGAGGCTGACTGTGTAAACTGCTTAGAGAGGGCTGTAAAGCGGTATATAAGCGGTATATAAGTGCTATTGCCATTCTGGTTGTGCATCTTGTGTGAATTTAGTCTATTGGGTTTAATGCATCCTGCAAACCGGATTAAGGGTTAATTTAATAATTAGGAGGCATGTTGGTCATGAAGTGTGGGAGACGGTGTAGCATGGAGGTTAAGCTGTTGCATTGGGATTGGAGATCCAGGTTTAGGCTTCAAGAGAGATAGAGGCCCAGTGGTTAGAATGCAGTACTGCAGGCTGCTTCTGTTGACCGCTGGCTGCCTGCAGTTTGGCAGTTCAAATCTCACCAGGGTCAAGGTTGACTCAGCTTTCCATCCTTCCACGTTGGGTAAACTGAGGAGCCAGATTGTTGGGGGCAAGAAGCTGACTCTGTAAACTGCTTAGAGAAGGTGGTAAAAGCACTATGAAGCGGTATATAAGTCTAAGTCCTATTGCTAAGTGGAAAAGGAGGGAAGGAGGAAGGGAGGAAGGAAAGAAGCAAGCAAGCAAGCAAGCCATAGTGGTGCAGTGGTTACAATGTAGTGTTGCAGGCTCATTCTGCCGACTGCTAGCAGTTTGATCCTGACCGGTTCAAGGTGGACTCAGCCTTCCATCCTTCCGAGGTGGGTCAAATGAGGACCCAGATTGTTGGGGGTAACAGGCTGACTCTGTAAATTGCTTAGAGAGAGCTGTAAAAGTACTATGAAGTGGTATATAAATCTAAGTCCTATTGCTGTTGTCCTTCCTTCCTTCCTTCCTCCCTCCCTCCCTCCCCTCCCCTCCCTTCCCTTCCTTTCCTCTGCACACTGCCAGCAGTTTGATTCTCACTGGCTCAAGGTTGACTCAGCCTTCCCTCTTTCCGAGGTCAGTCAAATGAGGACCCAGATTGTTGGGGGTAACAGGCTGACTCTGTAAACCGCTTAGAGAGGGCTGTAAAAGCACGGTGAAGCGGTATATGAGTCTAAGTGCTATTACTAAACAAACTGTTATAACTCAACGGTGTACTTCCTAAGAGGAGATGTACAAGCTTACCGTTTTTCTTCTCCTTCCAGCAACACCTTGTAGGCATTGATCTCAAAGTCCAGGGACATCTTCACATCCAACAGGTCCTCATATTTGTCCAGCTGGGACTGTATCTGTTGCTGCATCTCTGCCATCTCTCTGTTTTTTTCAGCCAGGCATCTCTTGGAAGAGTCACGTTCCGTATCAATCCCCCTCTGTAGGTCCTTGATCTTAGTCTCCAGCTCTTTGATCCTGGCTCGCAATTCGGCATTCTTGGATTTTACAGAAATGGTTTTTTTTTAATGTTTAGGCACTTCAGGCCAGAGCTAAGAACAGACTGGTTCTAAGAACAGATGCCTGTTTTTAGAAGATTGAAGGGGCCCCAAGCCAGCGTTGAAACCTTCATTTTGGATTTTGCCAATTTGATAGATTCGTTGTTATAGAAATGGCTAGTGTGTATCCTTATGCTAGCGCAGGGGTTAGAACGCGGTAATTGCAGGCTAACTCTGCCCACTGATAAGAGTTCAATTCTGATCGGCTCAAAAGTTGACTCAGCCTTCCATCTTTCTGAGATCGGTAAAATGAGGACCCAGATTGTTGGGGGCTAACTCTAAACCACTTAGAGAGGGCTGTAAAGCACTATCTCGCCATATATAAGTCCTATAAGTGCTATTTATAGAGCTAAGGTGGCGCAGTGGTTAAATGCAGCACTGCAGGCTACTNCCCCCCCCCAATGGTGCAAGAGGCCGAGGAAGCCACACCAGCAACTGGGCAGAGAACCAGTTACTAACATTTTTCAATCCCACCCCTGAAATCAGCCTTGGCATTAGTCAACTTCTAGACAAAATCTCCAGCATGCTCTGATACAGCCATTTCCGTTAAAAAGAGAGGAAGCGGGTAGTATATGGCTACCATATATAATTGGAGCAAAAGGAATTCCTTCATGTAGGAATTTTTGTTGTTTGTTGGAATTTCTCCCCAGCTATTGGAAAAAAAAAAACTAGAATTGCAACCTCAGTACAAAGTCAGCCTTCTTGTTTGGATACATATAGGGCAGTGGTTCCCAAACTTGGCAACTTTAAGACTTGTGGACTTCAACTCCCAGAATTCTCCAGCCAGCAGAGCTGCTCTGCTGGCTGGAGAATTCTGGGAGTTGAAGTCCACAAGTCTTAAAGTTGCCAAGTTTGGGAACCACTGATATAGGGTGAAGAACCTCAGTTTACAGAGGAATAAGGAGGTTGAGAGCCTTCTTTGCAAAAAGGCCACACTTTGTGCAAAATAAGCAACAGTCCGCCAAGGACCGGATACTTGATTAAATAACCCAGTGCATTTACTGTCCTCCTAAACTGAGCAAGATGAGGTTCTCGCTTGTTTCATAGCAGGCCAGAAAAAGAGAAGGTCTCTTAACGCTCATAGAGTCAAGTCCAAGAGAGTCGTTAATCAAGACAGTATCATCCGCCATAATCCTTGCATGTTAAGTCTTTCACTCGTTGGCCATTGGGAGTCACAAGCCACCTTGTCCTTGAGGTCGAGAAGAACAAAGGAAAGTTACAGCATCAACTCTCCGGGCGGAGCCAAACATTTCTGAAGAAAATTTTCAATTCTGGGCATCCCCATTTTCGAGCTGATCCAAATAAGGCACCGACTTCTGGCTACATGATGGGACAGCTGCGAGTCTCATTCTGCTGTGGGAAGAAATGGACAGTTTAGATCTGATGGACTCTGTGTCAGGGTTCCAAGCAGGGGTGGGGGTTGCTGGCGGTATTACTGCCAGTTCAGTGGGAGCGTGCACTTCCTTCGTTCATGCACGCATATGCGCAGTTGACCACGAATAGGTTTTTCTGCACATGCAGAAAACATTAAGAAAAATGCAAAAAAAAATGCAATTAAAATTGTTCTGCGCATGGCAGCACCTGTGGCGCCACATGGGGAACCGGGGGCATGGCAGGCCTGGGTCACTGACGGTCCCAGCGAAACATACCTGGCTGTGAATCCCTAGTTTGGTTTGTTCTGCAGCATCTTCCACTTCTCCCTCACCTTCTCCTCTTTCCAGATACGTGATCATCCCATCTGCAATCTCCTGAATATAGAAGACACGTAACAGAGGTAAAATAGAACAGAGTTGGAAGGGACCTTGGAGGTCTTCTAGTCCAACCCCCTGCTTAGGCAGGAGACCGTACACCACTTCAGACAAATGGTTATCCAATATCTTCTTTAAAACTTCCAGTGTTGGAGCATTCACAATTTCTGGAGGCAAATTGTTCCACTGGTTAATTGTTCTAACTGTCTGGAAATTTCTCCTTAGTTCTAAGATGCTTCTCTCCTTGATGTGTTTTCACCCATTGCTCCTTGTCCTGCCCTCAGGTGCTTTGGAGAATAGCTTGACTCCCTCTTCTTTGTGGCAACCCCTGAGATATTGGAAGATTGCTATCATGTCTCCCCTAGTCCTTATTTTCATTAAACTAGACATACCCAGTTCCTGCAACCGTTCTTCATATGTTTTAGCCTCCAGTCCCCTAATCCTCTTTGTTGCTCTTCTCTGCACTCTTTCTAGAGTCTCCACATCTTTTCTACATCGCGACGACCAAAAACTGGATGCCGTATTCCAAGTGTGGCCTTCCCAAGGCCTTATAAAGTAGCATTAA